ATTCCTAGATTACAAATTAGCACACACGCTGGATGCTTGATTTGGTAATCAAAATGACCTACTATTTCATTGTACATTTAGAGATATTTAGAAAAAATTATCCATGATATTTTTATATGCTGCGGGAGATGCCCTGAGCAGCATTGATGAAGTGATCTCAAAACTATCGCCGACCTGAACGTATGGCATAAAATTAGACCTAAATGAATTTTGTAAAGCAGCTATTCTCAAGCTATCCCTCCAACCTGTCCTCATGCAGGAGATTAGGGACTGGAGGTAATGGATGTGATTACCTCCAGGGGAATAATGGATGTAAACAACACTAAACTATTAGTGCTGTTATCTACTCTCTATTCATGGTTAAGTTAAGGTTACTTTAACCTAAAGTTTGGTTTGGGTGGGCTTCATTCCACTTGGTTATGTTAATATAATGTATTCACACATACTGTATATGTTAAGAGATACCATATATGTACTGTTGGTGAGTTGGATTGAACCGGCTTTGGTCACCATATTATAGAATGGCCATAAAATTGACATGAATGCATGCAGAGAAGAATGACAAGAGTTAATCCCAGGAATTAGACACCTTCATTATGGATATGTATTAAAAATGCATAAATTACATCCTCTAGAAAATCGAAGTGTCGAATGATATGACTGAAGTACGTAAATGGATAAAAGAAGGATAAAAGGCTAGCTGGTGTTAAGAGGAATAGCCAAGCCTGGCCTAACCAAACCAAGAAAATAATTAACTTTTTTTATATATGGTATGCACAAGGTGTGATATCACTGTCATAACTCTTTCTGTCATGTATTTTAGATACAATTGAGGTGAACAGAGATGGATGATCAACTCATTATACACAACAGCAACCTGGTCAAGAGTGAGAGTTTGATAAATTAGTCCCATAAGAAAAAATCGAAATTTGGGTTAATTCTCTAATGCTTCTTGATGGTATTGTTCAAATGAATCTTAACTATTTTCAAGACACTACTGCTGAGTTTTATTTCCCACCACTGGGCTGTGGTGTGGTAGAAATATGCATGGACACAATGACCAGGAAAGGTGGGGAGGAGGCGGGCAGGGAGCCAATAGGGAAGGCCCTGCAAGGCTAGGGTGGGTGGGTGGGTGCACACTCGGCAAATGGTTTTCTGTCTGTAAGCCTGCCTGTCTACCATTCATCCTGTCTGCCAGCCTGCCTGTCTACCAATCATTCAGTCTGCCTATCTACCAATCATCCTGTCTGCCAGCCTGCCTACCTACCAATCATCCTGTCTGCCAGCCTGCCTGTCTACAAATCATTCGGTCAGCCAGTCTGCCTGCTAGCCTGCTTGCTAGCCTGGCAGTCTCACCCTTACTTTTGTTCAGGTTTATGTTGCCTAAAGCTTGACATATCTATCAAACTGCCCCTTTATAAGACTTTTTTTTTATTACACCGCTCCCCACTCTCAAAGTATATACGCCACACCAAAAAGTATACTCAACTTGCAAAACTCACAACTTAAAATGTATACACATACAGTTTGCAATAGTCCAGAACTAAATTCAAAGCAGAAGGTGGGCGATCAGTAAGCTTTTGTAGAAGATATATTTTTCTCCAGATGATTATAGACCTAAAGAAGTATTTATATCTTATAATTGCAACACTATAATTAATAATAATAGTATAACTAGAAATTTATACAGCAACATTTATACATATGACATGCTGAAAAATATTCCCCCATGCTTAAACATGGATCAAAATAGCACCTTAATATCCATGGTATATTTTGTAATTTGTAGTGATTTGTATAAAAAAAATTGTCTTTGTACAATACAGTATTTGGTTGTGGAGTGAGAACTTGCGTGCAGTAAAATTGACCAGCAGGAGAGGTGGCAGCAAGCCAACATGGAGGGCTCCGTTAGGCTTGTGTGGGTGTGCAAGTCTGCCCAGTATAACTTCGTCCCCGTCTCTCTGCCTGCCTGTTTTACTGTCTATTGACCTGCCGTCCTGCTTGTACTTTGGCCTCTCTTCCTGACTGCCAGCTTGCCTGCTTGACAGATGCCTCCTTACCTATACTTGACTCACAATAACACAAAGTGCTGAAACTGCTGTTAAGAAACTGATAAAAATAGACTACAGTAGTTGTAGACAACATATCGGCTGTAAGCTAGGATTGTATCAGATTTGAATAATCATCACAGATGAGGTGCACATTATCATCAAAAGAAGTCTACCCTCATCTTGGTACTTCACATATCTACCTCCTGCAGACATGCCTGGCAGACTGCTTTATAATGCCTACCACCAAACCTTATGATATGATATAGGGATTAAGGTGTATCAACCAGAGAGGGTCATTAAATCACCACAATAATTTACCGATCAATCATGGAGCAAGTATACTTTAGACCAGAGCATTGTCCATGACTACAGTAAACTTAAGTGTATACGCTGACAAACGGGGTACACCTCTGCGTGTGTATATCCTTAATGTTACTGACTCTGCCATTCTCTTCCCTATCAATTAGCCTGCCTCCTAACCTGGGGTCAGATTCGCGAAGCAGTTACACAAGTACTTACGAACCTGTACATCTTTTCTCAATCTTTGGCAGCTTTGTTTATAATTATTAAACAATTACTGTAATGAGCACCAAAGCACCAGGAGGAGCTTGTTATTGTTTATAACAATGTTTATAACATAACATTATAATTGTTTATAACAATAACAACAATTGATTGGGAAGTTTTCATGCTTGTAAACGGTTTAATAAATGTAACCAAAGCGGTCAAAGATTGAGGAAAGATGTACACGTTCGTAAGTACTTGCGTAACTGCTTCGTGAATCTGGCCCCTGATTACCTAGAGTCAGCCTGCCTGGCTCGGCCGAACATGTACTTTCGCCAATTTATACGATAACATGGGTTCTGCATGGTGGATCTTTTGATACACAATCGTGGCTTTTGGATGTGTATCTCACAAAATCAATCAGAACCCATCATATGGGCCTCTCGGGATCAAACAGAATAATGGGTGCTGGATGATCTGTGAGGCACACATTGTCAGTTTTGGTTGATTCTGTAAGGCAAAACACATGGGTCCTGGTTGAGCCTGTGAGCCACTCATCATGGGCACAAAGAAATCACAATAACATGATGTATCAATGAGAAAATCAGTAGGAGCAAACAGGAGGAATCAAAACTATGCTCTAGGTACTCCCAAGAGGAACATATGCCCCATTTGCATCATAAGGGAAAATGGAGAGGGGGGGGGGGGACCTTTCACAAGCCGCCGGCTTCCTGTCCTCATCGAGGCCACTAGTATTAGTGGCCATCAGGTAAATTCAGGTAAATATCATTGGTTCTGGTTGATACCATGAAAAGAGACATCCTGAGTTCTAGTTGATCTTGTGAGGTACACATCATGGTTTCCGGCTGATCCTGTTAGAGGCTCAAGTCATGTTGTTTAATCAGCAATGTGAATGAGTTGAGTGTATATGCATTTTGAAAACAGTTATTATCAAAGAATATGCCAAGCCAGGAAGACTATGTAGCACCATGTGCTGCAAGATATTCAAAAGGAGCTATATATTGCTCAGGATGCCAATACAAGAGCAAAAGGATATAATGCAAATGATATCAAAGGTATTCAATTCAGCAAGGATTATAATGCAAATGATATCAAAGATATTCAATTCAGCAAGGATTCCAACAAGAGAAACACAAACCCTTAGTACATTAGGAAAGCAAGATACTCGAACATCCCAGAAATCAGAGCAATCAACAAGGTGGTGCACTACTAACTGGGAGAATGCAATTTGGACCAAAGGGAGCAGGATGTTGTTGCATTAAGTTGCATCTGGTGGATGTGACCGATACGTAACGAAGCCAAAGCGAGTGAATGAAATGTCATTACCTACGTTATTGTGGTTGGCAATTTATATGACTAGAATGTGGATTTCCTATACACCTCCATACCCCAGGGAAGGCTTAAAGTCCCAGTTGGATACTACTATAGTTGTCTCTCTTGGGATCCTTTCTTAGTGAGTATACCCATAGTGTGGTTGGTAGAGCTACAGGCTTCCACTTTTGAGGTCCTGGGATTGAGGCTCCAATGGACCAGGTGAATTAAATATTATTGTGGTTGGCAATTTTTAAAATATACTTTGTTTGCTGCTGGATAGGAGACATTTTTGGTCCACCATCAACCAAACATATTTTGTATTGACATGCACAAAATTGTTTCCCCCCACCCCCCTAGAAAACTACTTCAAAATTACTTTCAATAAATACACAATGAAACACTAAAAAAAAAATCAACAAAATATTGTTATAACTAGGTGCATCTTCTGCACCAGCAAATATGATATATAAGTCAAACAATATAAATAGAACAAAATAATAGTGAATATAATATGTAGGATGACAAAATAGCCCATACATGTGTAGGATGAATGTAGGTCAAGAAAAATACTCAATGAAGATTCAGTCGTCTCGAGTGAATGATGAGAGGATTGCAAGGAAGACAAACAAGAGTGAAGTACAGGGCTAGCTTCTTAAACAGCCTACTTCATGGATAAAGAAAGTGGCATATTACCTAGAAAATACAATCTCATATGTGTAGAACAAGATAGATCGCAAGAAAATATTAAAGTCATATGATGGACTCTTACCCACATCTCTGGACTCTATAAGCACACACACTATCAACGTGACCATAATTGCATAAAAAAATATCTTGACCTGAAGTACTATGTCACTTAAAGAGTTTAGAACGCACTATCTGGTACCAGAATATCACGTCCTTGTGATTTCACTGTGCAAGATGGATCATGATTACTGAAGGATACTTGATGGATGTCATGACTGCTGTTCCTTAAAGAGGATGTTCCTGAAAGAACACTATCAGAAACCCAGTAACAGACTAGACCAGTGACTATCCATTTGTGCTTCAGGCAGATGCTCTCAACTCGGTTCTTCTGATATCAAGGTACGAAGTCAAGAAAAATCCTCAGAGTTCTGCAACTGTTTACTTATATTGCTCTCTCATATTTTTCTGAGACACAGCTATATCTATTACAGAATTTATTACAACTGGTGTAATTTTGTGAATTGCTGCCATGACACTCTTCAAACTACAGTATTTCCAATCTTCATCCAAGCCAAACATAATTATGTTAAGTATTCCAAGGCATCATTATTGAGCACTCGGGAGAACATGGATATGAAGACTAAAATTGTCAAAATTAGCTTACATAAATTACAATATTTCAAATTATAAACAAGATTATAGACATCGCAAGTGTGATCTATCACAATCACAAGATCATCTTTTTCTAAAAAATAAATCTTTGAATTTCTATTAGGAGCCAAGAATTGATACACGTCATACTTTTAAAACAAAGAAATACTGTATAGCAGTGTTCTTTGTCTCCTATTGGCCATGATCCACTTCATGGTATCAACCTTTATCTTTTGAGCAAATGATGTTTCCCCAGTGACCAAAGAAAGCAATACAGCAATCTTCATTGACTGTAATGTGGTTTACTTTATATTCTTTGTGTCCTTGCCATAATCCAGTTCATGACAGTATCCAAAAGATTTTGAGCACATGATGTTCCTAATGACAAAAGAAAGCAATACAGTACAACAATCTTCACCGAGTGTATTATACTTTGTTTTACATTATTCTTCATGTTTCCTCCTTACCACGATCCAGTTCATGATAGTATCCTTTTTCTTCTGAGTAGGTGATATTTCCTGGTGGGACGATAAAGTAATCCTCAAGAGTTTCCTTGGCACAAGCTAGCAGCTCCTCGCTCAAGTTGTCAGAAAGAACCTCATCATCCGCCAGATGGAGAGACCTGAATGGTTTAAGGTTATGCTTAATAAAATTCAAACTATAAGAAATTAATTTTTTCTACAGATTTCATTAAATCAATGAACATTTTGCCTATTCAAAAGGTCTTAACCTCTGTAAAAAGAGACGATATCAGCTGAAGTTCAAAAGTTAACTTCACTCGGTCGAGTGATTAGAAATCAAAGGTGTTGTGTGTTTTTTCTCTCCAGAAAGAGAGCCATTTTATTTTCAAGTATTTTCTGTTAGCTTGCTACAAGGTCAATTTTTAATCTCTGCTCTAAAAAGTCAAGTTAAAATGTTTTAAAGTAATTCTGGTACTGAAGTTCAGTTGTTTAATCAATTTATGCAAGCAGTGAAATATGTTTACAATACCAAGAAATAAATTTTCTGACTACACAGTGAAACATCAATAGGCAACCTCATAGATGTACTTTGCAACATAAACTGGGAAGCTGAATTAAATAATATATAACAAATTCATCAACCTACATCATCTTTACCAAAATCTTAAGCCTCTTAAATACACACACACACTTCTTACCAAATAAATAACTGTCAAAAGACTAAACAATCCATGGCTTACAAATGGCATACTTAAAGCAATTAACAAGAAACATGAAAATAAAAATAACATAGAATTAGTCTAGTTGTAAAATAATTAATTAAAACCCAGCATTTAATGTAATGAAATGCCTCAGTGACTCCCTGAAGCAATCTTGCTGAGATTGCTACATACTAAAGAGTCACATTAGTTGTTGAAGTTCTGTTTGGCCTACCTAGGGCAAGAGCCAGATTTTGGCCCTCCCCTCATAGAGGCACAGGGAACAGTTGACATTTTGCCACCCCACCAGAAAGTTAGTGCATGTTTAATTCAGACAACTATATTCATTCTGAATAATTGTCTGAATTGTCTCAATTGTCTGAATTCAGACAATTCAAACAGTGCTAGTTTACAGACAACTAGAGAGTTCATAGAAAACAAAGCCTTGAAAATGCCAATCAAGTTCACAAGGAATTCACTGAAACTAGTTCAAAACTCATTAGTACCGATTAGCACCAACAAGTCAACATACCTGTTCTCAAGCACAGTAATCATTGGCTCCACACCTTCTGTGTTCACCACACACAGCTGATCGGCCATGCTGTAATACAAATTATTTGTTTAATCATATATTTCTTACAACACAATAAAGTGAGCTTGAAAGGAAAAATACAGTAAAAAGATTAACACATACAATATGAGTCTTCCAAAAAGCCTACACTTTTATTCTAGTGATACAATAATAATAATAATAATAAAATAATTTAAGCAAGAGAACATACATGAGATACTTAAACAGTGGAGAATTTGAAGGTAAAAAAAATACAATACACACAGCCACCAATATGCAAAGCATTTCAGGTATAACAAAAATAATATACTGTATGAGCTCATTTATCCGGACCTGTTAAACTGTAACTTTGGGTTATCCAGCCAAAATCGAGACAGAATTTTTGTCTGCCAAGCTTCACCATATCAGGACAGAAATCTGGATAACTGAAAATTTGACCAGATTACCAAGAATGGCATTGGGCCATACTGAATTAATCCCGTACAGAAGTAAAATAGAGCAAGTCAATGATAAAGAAGTTATATATTGTGGTATCCACTGTAAACATTTACAATAAATTTATTTTGTATGTAATCATTATACATGTATTCCTTTTATAGACCCAAAATAGCTGTCAAGTAAAATGGTAAGAAAATATATTGTCAAACTATTGCATTCCACTTTGCATGTAACAATTTGGTGAGAACGAACTATTGGCAACACAGACTTTTCTTTTTACATTTTTATAGTTTTCATATTCAAAATTCAATGCTCTACAATCCACTATAATCCATGATTCTCGGCATGATCGTGATTAAGGAAATGGCACAACATGATTGACACTACGTCTGGGGCCTGACAGCTGAATGGCCAGTGCTTCGGATTCGTAGTCCTGAGGTTCAGGGTTCGATCCCTGGTGGAGGCAGAAACAGATGGGCAGAGTTTCTTTCACCCTAATGCCCCTGTTACCTAGCAGTAAATAGATACCTGGGAGTTAGACAGCTGCTACGGGCTGCTTCCTGGGGGGGGTAACAAAAATGAGGTCTGGTCGAGGACCGGGCCATGGGGACGCTAAGCCCCGAAATCATCTCAAGATAACGTTACTAGGATTACTCCACAGCAGTTAATTGTCTTAATGCAAGATCTATATACAGTATTATGCTTCATACCTTATTGCAGCCTCTAGTCTGGCTAGACCTTCTTTGTTTGCGAAATCAACAAGTGATAATTTTTCCAGCAGCTGCACTAGCTGAAGATCCACTTGCGTTTTTGGTGGGAGAACTTGTTCATTGATGCTGTCATTAACAGGGTGTTGAGGAACCTTTGACGCCTTCTCTAGAAATGCAACATGATCAAACAATGCTTTGTTGGTTGTAAAATTAGGCAGAAACTTTTAAAAACAATATATATAAAATTAACAAAAATTTATATACTGTATCAATATTACACATAGCTGTTATTATACTGCAGATGTGTTTTGCATATACTGTACTGTACTACAAAACTGACAGATTTGTGCATATGTGTGATGCATATTAACCTTGCTTAGCAGTCACAAATGTTTGCCGTGTTGTCATACAAGAAACATTGATCCTTGTCAAGAGTTTTGTTAGATTGCATCGCCGAACAACTTGTCTCAAGAAGGTAGCCTCCATCTCTCTGATTTCAAAAACTTTCCTGAAAAGGTTATATAATTAAAATATCTGTATCTTCATTGTAACCACTTTGAAGTTGAAAATGTATTCAATATTTAAAACATGCAAATATCTGAGTTAGTCAGATCATTGGCATTTGCCCAATGTTAAAGAATTATTTGTATCTTTAAACAATCTCCTTCATACCCACAATCTCATTATTGCTACACACAAAAAAATTGAAAATCATGGGTTCCCATAATTTGCGACAGGATGTCTGTTAAGCTCATCGAGGCCCTCCTACGCTAACTACTGATAACCATTTCGAGGATACTGTATAACAACCCGAAACAGTGTCCAACTTGCGGGTAGCTATTTACTACAAGGTAAACGGAGGCATTACATGAAAGGAAATGTGCCCAATCATCTCTATCCTGCTCAGGGCTCAAACCTATGATCCTAGTTTTGAAAACTAGTTTTGTCAAATTGTCTTATGTAAGATTTGACTACATCTCGATCGGCCGAGGACCTTAATACACCAGACACGAGCGGGGCTAATCTCGGTGAAACTTACAAGTCTGAACAAATTGGTAAACATTAAACTAAACCACTTCCCTAAAAGGACCACTTGTGTTGCAGACAAGGGACAATAAGTAGTTTTAAGCTCAACAAGTCACAAATGTAGGACAGAAAACAAAAGGTGCTTTTTTACCCATGTGGTAATAAACCCGGGTTGATGGTTCATCAACCCTACGTTGAACCATCAACTTAGGCCGGTTGACGAACCGTCAACCCTAAGTCGTAAAAGCTAAGACATTACTTCGGCCAGAAAAAATCTTCAGAAATAATGGGAAGGCTTTCATCAAGCCACCGGCTTCCTGTCGCGGGCACTAAAGATAGTGTCCCACAGGAAAAATTCAGCTAAATTTTAATGATTCCCAGTGAGGTACCAGGACTCCTGGTGAAGTACCAAGGTTTCCAGCGAGGTACTAAGACTCCTGACGAAGTACCAAGGTTCCTGGCGAGGTACCAAGGTTCCCAGCGAGGTACCAACACTCCTGGCGAAGTACCAAGGTTCCCAGCAAGGTACCAAGACTCCTGACGAAGTAACAAGGTTCCCAGCGAGGTACCAAGACTCCTGACGAAGTACCAAGGTTCCCAACGAGGTACCAAAACTCCTGACGAAGTACCAAGGTTCCCAGCGATGTACCAAGACTCCTGACGAAGTACCAAGGTTCCCAGCGAGGTACCAAGACTCCTGACGAAGTACCAAGGTTCCCAGCGAGGTACCAAGACTCCTGACGAAGTACCAAGGTTCCCAGCGATGTACCAAGACTCCTGACGAAGTACCAAGGTTCCCAACGAGGTACCGAAGGTTCCCAGCGAGGTATCAAGACTCCCGGCGAGGTACCAACCCTCCTGACGAAGTACCAAGGTTCCCAGAGAGGTACCGAGACTCCCGGCAATCACAGGATACTAGTGACCGCACAAATATATTTTAACATTTCAGACAAAAAAAATTTGTACGTTTCGTATATATATATATAATTTGTCAATATTAAAACCACAATATAATGTTATTAACGGTTAAAATCTTCTACTTAACAGGTATATAGTTATTAAATGAAGTTGAGTTAGTAAGCTCGCCAGAGTTAACACTACACATGTGAAGGCCCACAAACAGGATCGAACGCACGAAACAATAGACTGTGGCCGGTTATAATAATAATATTAATTTACCTGAATTTACCTACGAATTTACAAGAAGGTACAATGTTTTTGTGAGATTACATACCATTGGTAGTTTTACATTCATGTAAAACCACCAACACACAACGTTTCGAGGAAATATATATGTTTATGCCCGAAACGCTTTGCGTAATAGTGGCTTTAGGCATTGTATGTACTAGCTCTACCTATAAGTCAACCAATCTTTGTAAAAATTTATTGTATGTATGTACCTTACCTAAATAAAATATTATTATTATTATTATTATTATTATTATTATTATTATTATTATTATTATTATTATTATTATTATTATTATTTATCTCTCAGAATGTTTGGTAATATGTTTATTGTTTGTGATGTGTTGATATGTATGTATTAACACGATGTACTGAACGGGGTGAGAATAGCTTGAGCTACCTCATCCCTTTGTGTGTATTTTACCTCAATAAACTTATTTCAATTTCAATTCAACAACGTTTCGGGCAGTTTTTTGGATAAACGCCTATTACATTTACTGTGTGATAGTTATACTTGTATATAATAATATGTATTAAAGGTAAAAGCCTAACATGTAATATTAATTAATAAAAAGAAAGTCAGAAGTCACACGCCTGTCTCTACATGTCTTTTGTGTTAAAGTATTTTGGGCGCTCTTGTACTTGTGCGTCAGCAGGCGTTCACAACTGATCTCGCCTTATTTATTTATTTATATATAGGAAGGTACATTGGGTTTGAGAGAATACATAGCATAGTATTTACACTCTTGTAAAGCCACTAGTACGTGCAGCGTTTCGGGCAGGTCCTTAATCTAACAGATAATTTTAAGTAGGTAAATTCTAGCAGAATTAATAAAATAACAGATACATTGCAAGAAAGAAAAAAGATGAGATGAGAGATTAGTAGGTATATTAAAGCACATTGGTTGGTATATTAAAGCTCTGAGGGAGTATGAGGGAGACACATGGGAGACCTCCCGTCACGCTGGTGCATCGCACCTCCACAGATCTCCAGTATCAGGTCTTGATACTGGTAATGACTCAAAAGGGCTACCACTTACGGGTGGCTTAATCTTCATCAATCATCAATCAATCAATGAGGGAGATATTTTTTTTTTTTTTTTTTTTTTTTTTGAGATATATACAAGAGTTGTTACATTCTTGTACTCTTGCGAGAACTTCCCGCAAAATCCATCAATGATTGCGTGGAGGCGAGGTAAGTCCATCATGGATTACCTCGTCCGAGCAGGTCTACAACCCGGCACCCACGACCCGACAAGGGAGGAGGATATCCATGCCGAAGGAATCCGTCAGAACCCACTAGCGCAGGACGGGAGACATCTCCCGTCACGCGGGAGACAGAAGACAGAACACGAAACAATGGGTATAAGAACATAAGAACATAAGAACAAAGGTAACTGCAGAAGGCCTATTGGCCCATACGAGGCAGCTCCTATTCTATAACCACCCAATCCCACTCATATACTTGTCCAACCCGTGCTTGAAACAATCGAGGGACCCCACCTCGATTGTTCTGGGAGTTATGATTAGTAAGAATTTAAAACAAAAGGATCAATGCATAATATGTTCGTAATAAGGCAAATCGGACACTTGGATTTATTAATCGCAGCGTTAGTAACAAGACACCTGGTGTGGTTCTCAAGCTATATCTTGCTCTAGTTAGGCCCCATTTAGATTATGCAGTTCAGTTTTGGTCGCCATATTATAGAATGGATATAAATTCACTTGAACGTGTCCAGCGTAGGATGACTAAGTTAATTCCCCAAATTAGAAATCTTTCATATGAAGAAAGATTAACAAAGCTTAAGTTGCATTCACTGGAAAGGCGAAGAGTTAGGGGCGACATGATAGAGGTTTACAAGTGGGTGAATGGACATAACAAGGGGGATATTAATAGGGTATTAAAAGTATCAACACAGGACAGAACACGAAACAATGGGTATAAATTGGATAAGTTTAGATTTAGGAAAGACTTGGGTAAATACTGGTTCAGTAACAGGGTTGTAGATTTGTGGAACCAATTGCCGCGTAACGTGGTGGAGGTGGGGTCCCTCGATTGTTTCAAGCGCGGGTTGGACAAGTATATGAGTGGGATTGGGTGGTTATAGAATAGGAGCTGCCTCGTATGGGCCAATAGGCCTTCTGCAGTTACCTTTGTTCTTATGTTCTTATGTTCTTACCTCCACAATGTTACGCGGCAATTGGTTCCACAAATCAACAACCCTGTTACTGAACCAGTATTTACCCAAGTCTTTCCTAAATCTAAACTTATCCAATTTATATCCATTGTTTCGTGTTCTGTCCTGTGTTGATACTTTTAATACCCTATTAATATCCCCCCGGTTATGTCCATTCATCCACTTGTAAACCTCTATCATGTCACCCCTAACTCTTCGCCTTTCCAGTGAATGCAACTTAAGCTTTGTTAATCTTTCTTCATATGAAAGATTTCTAATTTGGGGAATTAACTTAGTCATCCTACGCTGGACACGTTCAAGTGAATTTATATCCATTCTATAATATGGCGACCAAAACTGAACTGCATAATCTAAATGGGGCCTAACTAGAGCAAGATATAGCTTGAGAACCACACCAGGTGTCTTGTTACTAACGCTGCGATTAATAAATCCAAGTGTCCGATTTGCCTTATTACGAACATTTATGCATTGATCCTTTTGTTTTAAATTCTTACTAATCATAACTCCCAGATCCCTTTCGCAATCCGACTTCGCAATCACAACACCATCTAGCTCGTATCTTGTAAGAACATAAGAACATAAGAACAAAGGTAACTGCAGAAGGCCTATTGGCCCATACGAGGCAGCTCCTATTCTATAACCACCCAATCCCACTCATATACTTGTCCAACCCGTGCTTGAAACAATCGAGGGACCCCACCTCCACAATGTTACGCGGCAATTGGTTCCATAAGAACATAAGAACATAAGAACAAAGGTAACTGCAGAAGGCCTATTGGCCCATACGAGGCAGCTCCTATTCTATAACCACCCAATCCCACTCATATACTTGTCCAACCCGTGCTTGAAACAATCGAGGGACCCCACCTCCACAATGTTACGCGGCAATTGGTTCCACAAATCAACAACCCTGTTACTGAACCAGTATTTACCCAAGTCTTTCCTAAATCTAAACTTATCCAATTTATATCCATTGTTTCGTGTTCTGTCCTGTGTTGATACTTTTAATACCCTATTAATATCCCCCCGGTTATGTCCATTCATCCACTTGTAAACCTCTATCATGTCACCCCTAACTCTTCGCCTTTCCAGTGAATGCAACTTAAGCTTTGTTAATCTTTCTTCATATGAAAGATTTCTAATTTGGGGAATTAACTTAGTCATCCTACGCTGGACACGTTCAAGTGAATTTATATCCATTCTATAATATGGCGACCAAAACTGAACTGCATAATCTAAATGGGGCCTAACTAGAGCAAGATATAGCTTGAGAACCACACCAGGTGTCTTGTTACTAACGCTGCGATTAATAAATCCAAGTGTCCGATTTGCCTTATTACGAACATTTATGCATTGATCCTTTTGTTTTAAATTCTTACTAATCATAACTCCCAGATCCCTTTCGCAATCCGACTTCGCAATCACAACACCATCTAGCTCGTATCTTGTAACTCTATCATCATTACCTAACCTCAGAACTTTACATTTATCAGCATTAAACTGCATCTGCCAATCCTTTGACCATTTCAAAACCCTATCTAGATCAACTTGAAGTGATAGTGAGTCCTCCTCCGAATTAATTTCCCTACCGATTTTCGTATCATCGGCAAATTTGCAAATGTTGCTACTCAAACCTGAATCTAAATCATTTATATATATTATAAACAACAGAGGTCCCAGGACAGAGCCTTGAGGCACTCCACTTACAACATTTTCCCACTCTGACTTGATTCCATTTATACTAACTCTCTGTTTCCTTTGGTATAGCCATGCCCTAATCCAGCTTAATATAGCACCCCCAATACCATGAGACTCTATTTTTTTAATCAGTCTTTCATGTGGCACTGTATCAAAAGCTTTGCTAAAGTCAAGGTATACAACATCGCAATCCTTACCACTATCAACTGCCTCAACAATGCTAGAATAAAAAGATAACAAATTTGTTAAACATGAACGGCCATTTATAAAACCATGTTGCGACTCAATTATTAATTTATGTTTTTCAAGATGAAGACGAATTTTATTTGCTATTATAGATTCGAGTAACTTTCCCACAATAGACGTTAGGCTAATTGGTCGATAGTTAGACGCAAGTGATCTATCTCCTTTCTTAAAAACTGGTATCACATTAGCAACTTTCCAAAACTCTGGCACTCTGCCTGACTCTATTGATTTATTAAATATGGTTGACAGTGGGTCACAAAGCTCCTCTTTGCATTCTTTAAGCACCCTAGCAAACACTTCATCCGGCCCTGGGGATTTGTTTGGTTTGAGTTTTACTATTTGTTTAAGAACATCCTCCCTGGTAACTGCTAAACTCGTCAACCTGTCCTCGTCCCCACCCACATAGACTTGTTCGGCTGAAGGCATATTGTTAAGTTCCTCTTTAGTAAATACAGATACAAAATATTTATTAAAAATACTACTCATCTCTTCATCACTATCTGTTATTTGACCTGTCTCAGTTTTTAATGGACCTATCCTTTCCCTAGTCTTAGTACGATATAACTGAAAAAACCCTTTAGGATT